GTCAGCCCTCCTGAGGTCCAAGGTTTTGATCCTGCTTATCGCCCTGCTTCCTCCACGCAGGATCCTGAACTCGACCAACCGTACCCCGGGCTGCATCAAACGTGGCTTGAATTAGATTTCAAATTCACACAGGGAGAAGCGGCACTAAGATGCTGCAATCACATAAACAGAACCACAGAATCACAGAATAGTAGGGGTTGGAAGGGACCTCTGTGGGTCATCTAGTCCAACCCCCCCGCCGAAGCAGGGTTAAATGAAACCATTTCTCTTTAAGAAGTTAAGATTTTCCACAAATGCGCTAACCTTCCTTTGCCATTGTAATCTGGTTCCTGTGGAGGCAGGATGAAGAGAGAATTTCACCTAATCAGGAAAGCAATCTGTTCTGATTTTCTTGAAGCTGGAACATGAAACGAGAGACCCAAGGGCTAAAGTATTTCAAGGTATTACGCAAGAAAGTGAAGTCTGAAAGCAGTGCCATGAAGTTGAAGGCTGCATTGGAAATCCGAGATTAGACAGCCCTGGCCATGCATACAATGAAAATCCTCCTGGCGTTCTCCTGTTTACAAGACTGGTCACTGCGTTGGAGGCTTTACACCCTGAGGCTGGAGAGAAAGCCCTGCTCCTGGAGAAGGCCACAGCAGCTTCCAGCATACATCTGGGCAGAAGGCAGCGCGTACAGACCTTTCTAACAGCCCAGCTGTCCTGGGAAGACACAGCCATCAACAAAGCCACTTCTGAAGCAGTTCATCTCACTCTTCTCATAGAATCATTTAGGCTGGTTGGAAAACACCCTTAAGATCATTGAGTCCAACCATTAATAAACACTTCCAAGTCCACCACTAAACCATGTCCCCAAGTGCCATGACCATCTCTCCCTACCGCACTCCCTTTTTCTTCACTTGACACCAACTGCTCCCCAGTTCCCACGTGAGATGCAGGACAAGTGTCATTTATAATTTCAAAAATTTAAACTAACCAGGGGTGATTAAGGCAATCAAGGAAAATTAGCTGCCACATGAGCTCCCACCTTCTATGAACCACTCTATTACCCAAGCTGCACTCTTTAGTACCTGTGATCACAGCTCCAGAGGGCTGTCTCTCTATTTGACCCAAGGTTCAAGTTTTGTTTTCTGTGGACTTTCCTCCTAAGTCCTTCCAAAACATGGGTCTATAAGCTAGACTGTCCTACACAATGATTTAACCTCTCAACCATTAAGAAACAGAGCACAATCTTTGTAATTAATTACTACATTCTCATTATTAACATTCCTCAAACCAGCCCTCGTACCAGTGCAGAGGTGTACTGCAGTCTGAAAAGCAGTAATAGCAGCAAAGCGTTTAATAATTTCCAGTGAAAACACATCAGTGGATTTAACCTCTGTAAGAGTCTACTACTGCTGGATCACCCTTTCTTGCAGAAGTCAAGCATGTTTAGGTGTTAAGAAAGAAGTCCTGGGCTCTTCTGAAGAAGTGCCTGCAAAAATCAGAGCGTAGTTGTCTGTATCATCTGTATTTGGACTATCAACGTAGCAACTGAAAAATATTTTGCTGCTCCCATGGGTAGAGCAATATATACCACCACTAACAGGGCAGTTAGATTTAGGACTGTTTTCTTTTACTTCAAAAGTACAAACAGCACTGGCTCCACAGAATTTTTTTTGCTGCACAGACACACTTTTACATTCTAAGACTACAAACACAACATGCCTAAACATTTAGCACCTTTCCTCCCGTACGCTGTCTGTAGCTGAGGTCAGGCATTATAAACCCAGTGAGCACAATGCACCGTTACACACATCTCTAACAGCCATATTTGCCCCAACGCTCGTGCCTCAGTTTCCCCATCTCTGAAGCCAGGATCAGCCATCCTTACAAGGCAGACCGACACACTCACAAAGATTACTATTTAATTTCTACCCACTCTGAGAACAGCCTAGACCCTGATTACCAGTGACAATCTCTCTGAATTCACATATGCGTGGGAACCTGCATCAGCATTGGTGGAATGGAAAGACAAACTTTCAAGAACATCCTGAAATAATTACTCCCAGACTATGGCTTCCCCCCCACCTCCCCGAACTTGGAGGATAAGCAGACTAGCTTATATTAAAAAAAACTCACAATGATTTTTTTCTTTTACACAAGTTTAAAAGGTAAGAATTAGTAACTATTTCAGTCACCTTTCAATTTTTCATTTATTTCACATGTCCTAGCTCAGACTGCTTAGCTATAACAACAGCATGTCTCATGCCTCTGACCCTAGATGCCATAACACCCTTGAAATCTTTTCTAAAGGGGAAGAGCAGCATTCCACCACCGCCAGCAACAAAAGTAGCTACTGTATAAACAGGGATTCAATACCTGCTGGCAGTGTTATCAACACTACCAAGCTTTAAATAAAATGGCACTTTAACATGGTGGGAGATTCTTACACCACGATTTAGTTAAAATCTTTCATACCCTACAAACTATATTTCATCCAAATCAGTTCCTAGATCCAGTTCACCATGCAAACACATAAACCCTTGTCCCAGGAAAAGAGGAAGGCGGCACTGACCTTACCATCTAGCAGCAACGAGAAAGCCATATAAAATATAAGAATCAGTCATTTCACTCTTGCACTGCACCTCATTTCTACACAGCTATTTGTCACCTAGAAGGCAAATAAATAAAGGTGACAACACCATCGCTACCTCTGCTTACACAACCCTGTCAGAACCAGGAATTTTCCTTAAACATACGCAACCTGCAATTCAAAAAGAAAAACACAACGCACCAACTTAATGATATACTTGGTCACATTACTTGAGTGCCCCTGGCAAAGAACTTCAGACAGGAAATAAGCATGGTCTCATTCAGTCATCATTAGTTTCAGTCCTTCCTACAGGAGCTCAAATCCTTCTGAAAACTGACTCCTGTGTTTAGCCTCCCTTCTTGCCCAACGTTAGCATGCCACCAGACTAAAGCTGCCACAGCAGCTCAAGATCAGCAAAGACAGAGCCTCCCTGGCAGCAGTGGTCAGTGCTACACACAGACATGCCTTCAGGACACACTCCACAAAGCCATTCAACAGGAACCGGGGTAGAAAGCAGAGCGGTGAACTGTTTTGTTCACAGCAACATGGTTAAAAAGATGAGCTACACAATTCCATGCCACCTGTAAACATGAAGAGCAGGGCATCTCAATATTACAGAAAATGTTTATTAGGGTTGCTCTGGAACTGTGTAGCGCTCATTCCATTTTTTGTCACAGCCTGAAGCAAGTGTTTGCCCTGGCAAGTCAGTTCAAGCATAAATACCTGGGGACTCCCAATAGGAAAAAGAAAACTTTGTCACAATGGCTATTACACATCTGACAAGCCATCAGCATCCTCAGGGCTGCCTGGGTTCAGGCACCTGCACTTCACTCCAATGCTGAATCTTCATCCGTGCCAGCTTCATGCCATTTACTAGTAGTACCCAGAAGCAGGGCAGTTACACCGCCTGCAAGGTGGACTAGATGCATCTATTCGCTATCAGCAGTCTACAGAACATACAGTGAGGGAGAAGTTCCAAAATAAAAAGGACACTACTACATTTTGAATGGTTTATTGACACTTCAACGTTTAATATCTTTGAAGAAGGCCTGAAAGATAAGTTTTGCTTATTGACTTTGTCTTTTTCCCTTTGGCAAAATGTCACCTTCCACCTCCTCCCTCCACCCTCTCTCCTCCCAAGAGGATAATGAAGGTTCAGGCTAGTGTTTGGCTGCTTCTTACATGTAAACTGGCTTCAATCACCGCAGCAGAAACATGCAAGCCTGGGCAACAGTTTTCGTCAACAGCTTTTAGAGAATGAGTAGAAGTGCACAAAACACTTGTGCATTGATAGAAATAACTTTTTCTTAAATGAACTTCATATATATATACACACACACCTCTTTTTAAGTGACTTAAATTTAGTTCCCAGAATTACTACAGAAGCTATATCTTCTATTTAACTAGGCTTTTTTTCCCCCCCCGAACCATCATACTACCCTTTTTTAAAGTGCTATGTCATTAAAACTTAAAAATACTACTTTGATACTGTATACTTGTTTCATCTTGCCCTTTTAAGAAATCAGAAGAGCAACCTGCAATGCATATTTAACTGAAGTGATGCATTTAGCCTCATACGACTTTCTGGGCATCGTTATCTGATCATATCACCAGGAGCGGTGGAGAGACTGTATTTCCCCGTGCTTACATACACAAGTAAGCAGGCAGACAAAGCAAGAACTTCTAACCATTTCAGGAACAAAGACAAACAATTTAATCCATATTACATAATTCACTGAATACAGTTGATCTCATCCAAAGTGACTCCTGAGAGCAAAATCGTTTTAGCATTACACTTTATATACAGCTATGAAGGGATTACTGGAAACCAAGATACTCTCCTTATACCATGAGTAAGTACACTGGTTACAAGACCGCTGCACACTTTCACTTTGAAGATATTACTTAAGCCATGACCAAGTTTTACCACTACCTGTTTGTTATTTATGAAAAAAGTTATTTCGTTCTATCATTATTTTTACCTTCTTTCTGCTGCCAGACATCAAAACCTGAGTCAGATGCATTGAGCAATGACTCCCTTTTCTGCTCGCAAGTTCCGAAAGCACTAGCTACCCTTGAACACCTCTGTATGCTATGCTGTACACATTTTAACATCTTCCACAGGATTTTTTTTTTCTCCCTTTCACCGCAGGAATCGCTGCTCTGTCTGAAGCAAACTACATCCTGCATACCATTGCTTTCCGAATTTTCCATGTAATCAGTTTGGAACAGGCTATGAAAGTTTGATGCGGCAATGTTCTGTTAGAAAAAAAAAAAAAAAAATCAGGAGAATTACACCACTCTGAACCAGCGGAACCAAAATAATCAAGACCTTAACATAGTAATTCCAGTCACTGGGATGGAAGGAGACTTGAATGCAGACACTGGAACGAGTAAATTGGAAACATCTGATTGCATGCTTAAGTGAAAAGATAACCAGTATTTGCATTTTCTTCATCATCTTCCTTGCACATATGCAAGATTTTATAAAAAAGTTTATCACAGAGCGCAATGACAGAACATGATGTAATTACAGTTTTCTTTTTTAAAAAGCACTAGAAATCAAAGGCAACCAATATAACGTACATCTTCTCCATAACATTTTTCTCAGCTACATAAGGTGTGCATATACCAAGGTCTAACACATTTAGCTGCACCACATCAAGTCAAGCTGTCCAAGAGCACACACAATTTTGCTTACAAGAGTATATCCCTTCCACAATTTTTCAGTTTACAAGTAATTCCCTGTATTGGATTATGCTTAGTCAGAAGTAGAGATAATATTTTGTTCCAATACTACTGTTTGGTTTTATGACATATTCAGAGACGAGGCAAGACATAAGATTAAGTGCAGGGAAGCATTTCAGACCCCCAAAAATTGTATTCTTTAAAACTCAGCTATACATGGTTAACACAGGTAGATCTGCCAAGAGTTGCATAATTTTAATTTTCAAAAAGTGTGCAGCTGAAGCTTACTCAGGAAATATCAACTCTTCTGCATCACGGAATTCACTACGGGCGTCTGAATCATTCAAATTGCATTTTTTAATATCTGCTAAAACAGAATTACAAATTGAGTAAGTTAGTATATGTGAACTAAGTATCCTTATGAAATTAAAGAATAATGTTGACTCCTGGAAGACACCCAGAAGATCCAAAGATGGAACAGAAGGTTGATTATTACACTCCCACACAATCCAAGCAAGTTGTTAATATATTGAAAACATTAATGTCTCGTCTTGTACCTGCTGGATATCCAAATTATTCTGTCCCAAAACAAGTTTGATAACCATCCTCTCTGTAGCTGAAAGTGGCCAGAAAACAGTTCATTTTTTTAAACAAATGGAATGGAAACCTTTTCCCCACCCCACAAGCTTCAGTTACAACAGTCTAAGCCAGAGACTTAAGCAAATAAACTTCAAAATAGCCATTTGTTACAAGTAGCAAATTACCATGAACAATGAACTTGTTAGGAATCCCTTCTAAAAGTACGACACACACAAACAGGCTACCCAGCAGAAAAATCTGTTAACAATTTTATTTCTTTTGTAATGTTAAATATTATGGGACAGGATTGCAAGGATGAAGAACTCTCAACAATGCCTCACAAGGGATAAGAAAGAAAATCTGCCATGATATTAGTAAAGTAAGGTAAGGAGAAAATTTACACAGTAAGAGGCACCATTTCCCCAAGAATACCTCTTGTCATATTCCTGAATGAGTGGGATTAGCGATCTAATAAATCTTTTTTCAAGAGGTAACAGCAACAGATAAAATTTTAAAGGATTATTAAAATAACATTTACAAGACTCTGAACAATTTTTGAATTCTTATTAAAACCACAGAAAGAAAGAACAATATTTATGAATTTTCATAAAGGACTGACTGTGCAACTGACACCTGCTATTGATGACTTAATGTACAATTTTGTCCAGTAGCCGAACAGTTTGTCTTTTCAGAATGTGTTTTCTAATCGTGCGAGATCATTAAAGGCAAAGCCTGTTATGATGCTGTACACAAAAATGGCCACTTGGGCCATACTACCAATGAAGTGGTAGGTAAACAAATCTTTTTCTGGCCAAGAAAAAAAAAAAAGAAGCTGCATTTTGCATGCTTCTCTCACCCATTCTTTCTACAAGATGAACTTCCCTAGAAAGAATCCAATGAAAATGGCTGCAATTACAACAAGAAGTGAAGGAAGAGAATTAGAGCCGTTATCTCTGAGGGCCAAAGCTGTGGGTGATCCAGACTTATCCGAGTGCGCTACCTTTCTGAGCCTCAAGCCTTCATCCTGAGGGGGAAAAAAACACACACAGATGAAAAAAAATTATGAACACATTTTCTTTACAATTGTGAAAACTGAACTCAAAGGCCAAATTTACCGGTGAATATTTAAATAAAGTAAAAAAAATAACATCACACCACATCAAAATCCAAAATATGAACATAGCAAACTATAATATTGCAAATAAGGACAGGTAATCCACTAGCCTCTTCTCCATGCTGTGAAGACTCTGAAATTCTTGCTAGGCACAAAGAAGAATCCTGCTTTTACTTACTATGTGTCAGAATTAAATAGCAGTAATTCCTTATTGTTAAGAAGAAACATCTGCTTTGTGTAGTCTTTCTCCAAATGTTCAAATGTCATCAGAATTACAGGTGTGAAGACATCATTGTTTCACAGTTCTTTGAAAGGCTACCATGGCCAATGAAATTGTCAGATACCCAAAAGCAAATATACAAAAAAGTCAGATAAAGTTACGTATTGACTAGTTACAGGTTACTGAAATGGCATCTTTACATAAAGGTACTGCAAAGTAGTGTTTGCTTACCTCCTCTGGCCAAACAATTGTTCTTGTTCACTAAAAATTTGTGATATAGAATGTTACCTCTTTGGATCTCATTTACTCGTTTTTAATGAATAATAGTGCACTTTATTACAAGCTACTAATTCGGTATCTCTGATTTAGACTTAAAGTAACTAAGACCACCTTAAATAGGACCATTTCATTTAAGAAGAAAATTACGTACCTTCAGTATCTCATCCATGACAACCACAAAGTCTCAATCACTGAGAAATTCAAAATATACAGTATATACAGGACAGTAAAATCATACTACAAACCATTCTAATAGTTGTATCTACTTTCTGGAATACACGTCTATTGGCCTAATTACAAACCAGACCTCTCAATGAAGAAGAGTGAAGCCACTTCAATATAAACATGGAAGCAGAACTTACTCTCAGGTGCCGATTTTCATCCGTCAACTTCATAATCTCTGCTTGAAGTCTTTTGCACTCCTCCACTAGCTTCCTTGTTTCAGTATCATTAAGCGAAACACTATGTGGTTTTGGCATCGGTCCATCCTGCTTAGATGTATTCAGTACTGGAGCAGGTTTGCTTGCATCTATATCATTCTACAAATATTAAGAATTACTTTAGAATTTTACTTACCTAGAGAAAAATCATTCACAGCTTAAAACTGAAACAATCCAGCTACTAATATAGTTCAGTGAAGTTTACATTTATAGTAATCTGAACAAAGACTTCTGTTACCAGTTCAATTCTGATTAGCTCAGATACTAAAAAGCAGGAGAAGATTGCACCATTTACCCTTGGTACTACCTGCCACTGAGACAAAAAATAATACTTTAGCTGCTTAACACTGACCCAGCAGGCATCCAAAGACGGCATAAAATACACCAAACGGCATTTGAACTTGAGGGGGAAAAAATAAAGGAAGAAAGTAATCCTGTGATACTAACAAAACAAAACAAAGCAAAAAGAAAACAGGCTGTGTCACAAACTAGTCTGAAATACGTAAGGCACAAATATTTTGCATTTATAGCACCTCCTACTGAAGGAAAGAAAAGTATTGCACAAACACGAAATTTAAGTCTCATAGCATCTCCGAAATACACATTACTAATTTTGAATACAAGTGAAAAGCCACATAAAAATCTGTGAAAAAGCCAAAAATAAAATTAAAAATCTAGTTCCCACATCTCTGCTCAAAATACAAAATGATCTTCAGTAGACATTAATAATACAATGGATTCAGCTGTATAGCCCAGTTTACCATTTGTAAAAACACAGCATTCATATGGCAATGAAAGAGCTTGCATTCAGATGCAGGCTTCTGTATTCCTCCTTGCTTGGCTACACAGGTACATCATTTAGACCACCACCATACTGCATCTTTCATAACCAAAGTAGCCCAAGGTGAGTAGTAAATGTAACAGAAAACCTATTAAAAGGTAAACACATCTATGCAATAACAAAGCAACTAGGAAAAGATGCAAGAATTTCCTATGCAAGCAGCAGTTATTTGCAGCATCTACTTGCACTTTAGATTTTCTGCAATGCAGCCACGGACAGCCTAAGAGCCAGATCCTGCTACTCCACACAGGTACTCCTAACTGGATTTAAAAAGACCAACACATTTTTATCATGAGAAAGCAGATCAGGATCTGTTGCTTTTTTAATTGGTTTGCTAGCTGAACTGCATTCCTTTAGTAGCACTGAAACTTCACTAGAGACCTAAAGACCCATCCTCCCTGGAACAAACCACCTTCTGCTGTTTGACCTCACTGACTGGTTTCTTAATGTCAATCTTCTGGCTATGACTGGTAGACATCTTAAGAAAGTTGTTGCTGACTGGAGTGAAATACTTATGTCCTGGTGTCAGTATATCGTGTGATGGCAGGTGAGGCTTTCCTTCAGGACTTGGCAGATATCTCATTGCCAGGTTTAAGGGATTGACTAAATCAACTGCTAAAGGAGTTTGCAACCCTACGCTGCTACTTGGAAAAATACAAATATTATGTACAGTCAATACTACGAAGATACGACATTAAAGAAAGTACAAAAGCAGGTACTTTTGTACAATCCACTACATTTCTCTCGCCACATTATAGATATTTTATAAAATTAAAAACAAGGATAATTTTTCTAATATCTAAGATGTAATTTCTTACAATCATAGAATAGTCTGGATTGAAAGGGACCTTCAAGATTACCTAGTTCCAACCCCCCTGCAATGAGCAGGGACACCTTCCACTAGATCAGGTTGCTCAGAGCCCCATCCAACCTGGCCTTCAACACTTCTGGAGAGGGCGCATCTACCACCTCTCTGGGCAACCCATTCCAGTGTTTCACCACTCTCATTGTAAAAAAATTCTTCCTTATATCCAGTCTGAATCTATCCTCTTTTAGTTTAAAATCATTGCCCCTTGTCCTATCACTACAGGCCCTTGTAAAAAGCCTGTCCCCACCTTTGTTATAAGCCCCCTTTAAGTACTGAAAGGCCGCAGTAAGGTCTCCCCCAAGCCGTCTCTTCTCCAGACTGAACAAACCCAACTCTCTCAGCCTTTCCTCATAGCAGAGGTGCTCCAGCCCTCTCATCATTTTTGTGGCCCTCCTCCGGACCTGCTCCAAGAGGTCCATGTCTCTCCTGTGCTGAGGGCTCCAGAGCTGGACACAGGACTCCAGGTGGGGTCTCACCAGAGCAAGTAGCAAGGTAGAATCGCCTCCCTCGATCTGCTGGCCATGCTTCTCTTGATGCAGCCCAGGATATGGTTGGCCTTCTGGGCTGTGAGCACATGTTGTCAGCTCATCCCATCCCTCAGGTGTGTGGACCGCACCACTCAGCTTGGTGGCATCTGCAAACTTGCTGAGGGTGCATTCAATCCCGCTATGTCATTGATGAAGATATTAAACAGCACCAGTCCCAGGTATGGACCCCTGAGGGACACCACTTGTCACTGATCCCCATCTGGACATTGAGCTGTTGACCACTACCCTCTGGATGCAACCATCCAACCAATTCCTCATCCACTGAACAGTCCACCCATCAAATCCGTATCTCCCCAATTTAGAGACAGACGTTGTGGGGGACCAAGTCAAAGGCGTTACAGAAGTCCAGACAGATTACATCCATAGCTCTTCCCTTGCCCACTGATCTAGTCAATCCATCACAGAAGGCCACTAAGTTGGGCAGGCAGGACTTACCCTTGGTGAAGCCATGCTGGCTGTCTCAAATCACCTCGCTGTCCTCCATGTGCCTTAGCAGAGCTTCTAGGAGGACCTGCTCCATGATCTTCCCAGGCACAGACGTGAGGCTGACAGGTCAGTAGTTCCCAGGGACCTCCTTTCTACCCTTTTTAGAAACGGGCACAATGTTTCCTTTCTTCCAGTCACCAGGGACTTCACCTGACCGCTAGAACTTTTCAAATATGATGGAGAGTGGCTTGGCAACTACATCATCCATCTCCCTCAGGACTGTGGGATGCATCTCGTCAGGTCCCATACATTTATGTATATTCAGGTTCCTCAGGTGGTCACAAATCTGATCTTCCTTTACAGTGGGAGACACTTTGCTCCCCCAATCCCTGTCTTGCGGTCCATCCACTTGAGAGGTTGCCAGTGAAGACTGAGGCAAAAAAGTTGTCAAGTACCTCAGTCTTCTCCTCGTCTGTTGTTACCAGTTCACCATTCTTGTTCATCAGGGGGGTATGCTTTCTTTGACCTTCCTTTTCTGGCTGTCATACCTGTAGAAACCCTTCTTGTTATTCTTAGTATCCCTTGCCAAGTTCAGCTCCAGCTGTGCCTTGGCCTTCCTGACCCCATCCCTACCGGGCAGCGTCCCTATGCTCTTCCCAAGATACCTGTCCCTGCTTCCACTGCCTGTGCAGTTCCCTCTTGCTCTTTAGTTTGACCAGCAGGTTCTGACCCAGACATGCCAGTCTCTTGCTTTCTTTTCCTCATTTCTTACACCTGGGGACTGAGAGCTCTTGCACTCTATGGAAAGAGTCTACGGAAAGGCAGGCCACTTGGGAAGAGTACAGAAACGTGGTGAGAGCATGCAGGGATGCGATGAGGAAGGCCAAGGCTCACCTGGAATTGAAGCTGGCAAGGGATGTCAAAAACAACAAGAAGGGCTTCTTCAACTACATCAGCAGCAAAAGGAAGGCTAGGGACAACGTGGGGCCGCTGCTGAATGAGGCGGGTGTCCTGGTGACGGAGGATGCGGAGAAGGCAGAGCTACTGAATGCCTTCTTTGCTTCAGTCTTCAGTGCTAAGACTGGCCCTCAGGAATCCCAGGCCCCGGAGGTAAGAGAAGAAGCCTACAAAGAAAACGACTTTCCCTTGGTTGAGGAGGACTGTGTGA